TAAACATTGGACTTTCCTTGTGAGATATAAAGGACTTTTTCTCCCCCCTTCACCTTAAAATTACTTCAACTCACACATGGCTACCCCCCTTGTCAATGATAATGCCAGTCCAGCAACTTTAGCCAACGACTACAAGTTAAGTTCCATCAAGAGGATGAAAATCAATTGTAATATTTACTTTAATAACCGCTGTTTACAAGAAAACTTAACACCAAAATACATACACATCAAGATTAACAGAGAACCTCTTTCATTGAACAGTAGGAGATGCCTACGCCGCCTAAAAGTCTTACTTTTGAAAGAAGAAATCAGGACACAATATAGAAAACTCTACTTTTTAGATTTACGTCTAAAAACAACTTATGACCGTCTAAAAGAGGTTTGGCCTTTCATATATTTTGATAATTTCATGTCTTTTGTACATAATTTGGTTAACTATGATAGATGTAATAAGATGAAAACTTTGAATGAAAAATTAATCAAACTAAAAATTAAAAATAACAATGTTAATAACAATCCCTCAGATCAAAGTTCACATAAATTTCATACACCTCTTCTAAAATTTTTCTGATACTACTTTTACAGAAACTGAAATTGACCTCCTTAACAAGGGTATAAAATTTAATCCAACTAGATCAAATGCCATTTCACTTAATAAAAACTTAGAACTACTAGCAGTAGAAGCAGAGTCCATTTTACAAAACTTTGAAATTGACAATAAAGAAGATCTTAGATGTGGATTAGTTAACATATTCAAAAAAGAAAAAGAAACGTTATTAAATAATCTCTCTTCAAGAGGCACTTTTAATGATAATTTAATTAAAAATATTAATAAAAAGATTAAAAATAATGATCTAATATTGACAAAAGCAGATAAGCTTTCCATTGTTGGACTCACCACGTCTTTTCTGCGTTTCTTTGAATCATATTTAAGTAATCGTAAATTGAAAGTTGAATACCATGGTTTTCAGTCAATTTGTATAAAAGCTTCTTCCGGTGTCCCTCAAGGTTCAGTTCTAGGACCACTTTTATTTTCCATTTTTGTAAATGACATTACTGAAAACCTATCATGTAATACTCTACTCTATGCCGATGATTTCAAATTGTTTAAATCAATCTCTAGTATTGATGACTGTTTGATTATGCAGGAGAACCTAAATAAATTGAACCTTTGGTGTAATTCTAACAACTTACCACTAAACATATCTAAGTGCAATTCTATCAGCTTCACTCGCAAACTAAATCCGATTGAGTATAATTTCACTGTCAACAATATTACCATCAATAAATGTCTTTCTTTTAGAGATCTTGGTGTTCTTTTCGACGCTAAGTTAAATTTTATTGAACATGTCAATACTATTCAAAAAGAAGCATACAGAAATTTGGGTTTTGTCATTCGAAATGGACGCCAGTTCTCTGAGCCTAACACTTTAAAAACTATTTTTAACGCTTTTGTACGTAGTAAGCTAGAATATGCGTCCATTGTTTGGAGTCCTGGATATGAAGTATATAGCCAAGCATTAGAAAAAATTCAGCGAAAATTTGTCAAATATTTGTGGTGCAAGCTAGATGGCGTCTACCCTACTCGCAATATTCCGCAAACCATCTTGCTGAATAGATTTGATATCCTTGAATTACGTACTCGTAGGAAATGTTATTCTATCTGCATTCTTTACAAATTATTAAATTTTAAAATTGACTGTCCCGAACTACTTCGTCAACTAATGTTTAATGTTCCTAGTATCAGAACTCGCTCCCCTTTTTATTTCTATTTTCAAACACCCAGGACAAATATTTTAAAATTTTCTCCAATGTATTTTATGTATCAAAATTTTTGTGAACTTCAAAATGATGTTGATTTATTTTCTATTTCAATTAAAGAAATAAAACGCTTAATTGTGGACTGAGTTAATTATCATAAGACGACGTAATTTTTTCTCCTAACGGAGTTTTTTTTTGCGTTTTCTTATGATGGTTAAAAACGTTTATTAAACTATTTTTTGTTTACATATTTTTATGCTATTATTAGTATTTAATATTTTGTTATCATTTTTATGATGTAAATTATACTGTAATTGTAATTATTTTTGTGCCCATCCTGTAATTGGTTTTATACTGTTGGATGGTGTAACCCAAATAAATAAATAAATAAATAAATAAATAAATAAATAAATAAATAAATAAATAAATAAATAAATAAATAAAGGCAATTGTCTATTAATTCTGAACAAATTTGATTACTTGTCTAAAGTTTACAACTTTTTGAACACCAATAGTTTCGTTATAATCACTAACCCCTTAAATAAGTATAATACCAAATTTAAAACTACCCTTAAAAATTGTACACATTTGATTAATGATTCCTTGTTTAATAAATTCAAACCAGATCACAAATTAATACCTAGGCTATATGGCCTTCTCAAAATACACAAATCTGACAATTTTGATGACATACCAATCCGCCCTGTCGTGTCATATATAAATTCACCAACATATTATACATCAAAGTGGTTGAATGACATACTCAAAATACATTATAAAGATCACTTTACACATACAGTCAAAAATAGTGTACAACTTGTAAACAACATCAAAAATGTTCACATTAATGATACAGATTCTTTGATCTCTTTAGATGTATCAAACTTATTCACAAATATTCCTATACCAGAAGTTCTAGGTTTTGTTGAATCACATTTGTCAAGTTCGAATATGTCTGATATTGAACTAGTAGAATTTTTGAACCTTCTCAAGGTTTGTTTAGAACAAAACTTTTTTTCATTCAACAATGAAATTTTTTCACAAACAAATGGACTTTCTATGGGATCTCCACTTAGCCCAATTTTAGCAGACATATTTATGCACAATTTTGAAAAAGAGAAAATCCTTAAAAATAACCTTTTCCACTCAAATGTGAAATTCTATTATAGATATGTTGATGATATTTTGATTTTGTGGTCAGGTAACTTAGACTCATTAAATGACTTCTTGACTTATATTAATGACTTACATTCTAATATTAAATTTACATTAGAAATTGAAATAAACAAATCTATTAACTTCTTAGATCTTAAAATCTCACACAATAATAACAAGTTCAACTTTGACATCTATAGAAAGCCAACACATACAGGCACAGTTATAGACAATACCTCTAACCATCCAGCAACACATAAATTGGCTGCCTTTAATTGCTACTTAGAGAGGCTATTAAACATCCCTCTGTCTACGGAAAACTTTAATAAGGAACTAAATATAATTAAAACTATTGCTATAGATCACAACTTTGAACTGGATATTATTGATAAAATGCTAACACATAAACAAAATAAAATTCAACAAAACTTGGTTTATATTAATAATCCTAATTTGGTACATGAACTAACCACCAGTAAGAAATACATTTCTCTTACCTTTATTGGAAAAGCATCCTATAAAGTGGCAAGCTTACTTAAAGACCACTTTAAAGTATCTTTCAAAACCCCCTCCTCATTACATAAGTTATTTGTTCATAATAAAGATAAATTAGATCCCTTTGACTTGTCTGGAATTTATAAATTGACTTGTAAATCTTGCCATTCTTTCTATGTGGGACGCACATTTCGAAATTTCAAGATCCGTTTAAAAGAACATTTGCGTTGTCTTAACCAAAATACAACAGGATTTTCACATTTTGCCAACCACCTACTGGACTCAAATCACGACTTCGATTCAACTGAAGGTTTCGAAATCCTACATAGTTCCTACCATAGATTAACTCTTAATAGCTTCGAAAGCCTCGAGATATTGAGAAATTTAAAATTAAATCCTGTTGGTTGCTTAAATGCCCAGATAATGTCAGAAACTCCTCCAGTTTTCTCAACACTAATCTAAATTTATCGTTCTAACTTCCTTTTTAACCTCCCCCTTTATTTCTATTCACATATTTCCTTGCAAGGGGTACTTTTCAGTAAGTAATTTTTTTCCCACAAAAAACCAACGTGCATGTTTAAGGACTAGGTTAAGTTGTGCGTTTTCACATCTGTCATTTTCTTCTTCTTTTATTTTTCAGTTACTTCACAACAGTTAACCCAGTCATCTCTTCTTCTTTCTTATTTTATCCTACAACATCACATACACTTGGTGATTGGTTCATGGCCCAAATCTTATATAATAAATATTTCTTCACTCATAGTTTACATCTTATTACCTATACCCTGTCATAAGTTTATCCAAGAATTTTTCTTTAGTACTTACCACCACCTGTAGAGGCCTTAACTTGACAGGTCTCCTTTCAAAAATGTTAGATTTTTATAAAAAACAGCAATGTTTGCTTAAAACAGGCCTTATCTTTTAATCTGTTTAATGTATGTAATTTGTTTTTGTATCGTCTTGAATATTTTAAAATTTTTAACTGTTTTATCGACTAATATTTGTTTTTCAAATATTTTTAACTTTATAACTTGTAACATTGTTTTGTTTTACAATTTATTTCATCCCCCACGTTTTGATGAAACTGGTTTGTAGTATTCCCTAGTGGATGGAGAGTATGGTGAGTTTTTTCTATTTTTTACTATTTTATATATTGTGGGCTCAAAGTCAACACACCTTACACCACATATTCTACTTTCCACTAGGCGAGCCTGAAGATGAAGTGATGTTACTTCGAAACCGGTCGCACTCAATGTTTTGTTGAATAATTAAACATTGGACTTTCCTTGTGAGATATAAAGGACTTTTTCTCCCCCCTTCACCTTAAAATAACTAAGATATTCTCAAAAAAAAAGGATATAGGTACATCACAGTACTGAAATGACTTATGTTCTTTGGTAGTAAGCGAGATTAAATGAGCCAATTTAGTCCCTTATTATGTAATGCACATTTGTCGTGTTTGGATTAAAGAGGATTTAAAAAAAAAGTAAAAGTGCTTGAAACTTTTATTTGATACAGATCGGATATGAATACAGTGTATTTAGGAATTTGGGATTCATTATCATCTGGATTATTTATTAAACAGGACGTTAGTTCCTTCTGTTGCATTGTTTTATAGGGATACATTTTCCATTGTCGTCCCTCGCATAGCCTTTATCACATCGGCAGGCGTAGGTGCATTTTTTATTTATTATAGGACAAGGTTCTCCAAGTGTTTTGCACTGTGTTTGACATGGGCTGCCACATTCGTAAACCTCGTGCGGACGGATGCATTTTACTAAAAAATATAATTACCATCATTTTATATACGTAGGATAACAAGTAAGCATTAAAAGGGCTTGGTATACAGGATGTGCAATGTAGACGTCAAAAGCCTTATATTCCTTATTACTTTTGATATGAATGAATTTTGGTAAGGAAGACACTTAGTTCAGAACCTGCAATGACATAATCATGCACAATGATATTAGCTGTTTTATTAAACCATACGACTTTACATTTATCGATATTCAGTTTAAGCAAGTTATCGTTACATCATTTAAACAAATTGCTGAGATCTGATTGTTTGAAAGGTTATTGACGATTGAAAAAAAAAAGAACATATCAAAGTTATTGTTAGAAAATATATAAAATATTTTCCTTTGTTTACAATTTATTTATTTATTTCTTTCTAAATGAAAAATTACATATCTCGAATATTTTTGGTTATGGTTTTGATGTTTCTATTGGACATTTTTTGTCAGCTGTTAAAATGGTATCTACTTATATTGGATAATTATTATTTTTAAATATGTTAAAAAAAATATTCACAATTATTACTATTTGTTTAAATTTACTTACCTGGGAGAGGGGGTATTACTAACTGAGAAGAAACATTCGCTAAAATACTAATAAATATTAAAAGAAATACGTAGAAAAACCTCATTTTCATTCAATAACAAACAATGGTTTATTATTAAATAACAAAGCTACCGCGAAGTTTAAATAAATACGAAAAATTCGTAATTTAAAATTAAAATTTTTAATAATTATGGTTGATAAAGAATTAAATCTAAATATAGAAAAATACGTTATATAAATATTCTAGATCAGTGAACTAGCTAAATAAAATCAGAGGGTTTGTGTGTTTTTGGGTATATAATATTTGGATTTGAAAATGGTGAAAAGTAACTAAAATACCAATTACTTATTTATTAAAAACCAAAAACAATAACATAATTCTAATGATAATGTTATTAATTAAACAAAGAATCACAAGATGTTAGTTTAGTAAGTTCCCGTTGTATCCCGATGGGACATTTTAGGTAAATTATTTTAAGTATTTTTTATAAAAAACTCAACTAACTTACCTAACAGGTGCGTCCTGGAGCCGTCGCGGTTTGATTTACAAAAAAAAAATAAACAAAAATGAAAAAATAAAAAAAATTAACTAATTTACCTAACCTATGCGACCTGGGGCCATCGAGAGTTGCTTTAAATTCCAAGTGCCATTTAATTATATAATGCGTTTAGTGATGGAAATAAGACAAGAACTGGAACTTCTTGTCTTGATATCAAGAGTCTTGATTTTTTTAAGACAAGAAATAGTATGATCTTGTCTTGCCAACTTCTTGACAATCAATTTCTGGTCTTAATACTTCTTGATTATTGATTCCCGTGAGGCGTTACACACGTCATTCTACCCAAATCTTCATCTCGTGAATTAAATAGTGCATAGGTACTACGCAAATATTACACTAAGCTTTTTTGTTTCTGCAGTTTGCGTGTGGGGGGATGGATCTCTATGTCTCCAAAACAAATCATAAATATTTATTAGGCATTAGGTATAGACAGTTTGAGTTTAACTGCGTAAAGGGCACGTGCTAGATGCATTTTTGATAAATTTTCGCGGCGGTTTTTCTATTTATAAATTATTTAAAATGAATACGAAGAATACAGGACAAATTAACAAGCGTTCGGGTGACCAGATTATGTACAATTGTACCGAAAGTAGTGAAGATAAAACTTCGGAAAGTAAATATAATATTTCTGGATAACAATCAACGTCTAATTCGAGTAGTGAAAGTGATAAAGACACTAAAGTAGACAATCTGAAGCTTCTTCCAAAATAAACCAGGGAAACCGGAAAAGGAAATCTTCAACCGATAAAAAAGTAATCAAGAAGCAAACAATCACTGATCACTTTAAAATTTATAGTAATTAAAGAATAAACAATTAAAGAATAAAATTGGTGACTGCAAAATTTGCAAAAGAATGGGAACATTGACTAAAATAAAAATGAAAAATTATAATACCAGTGGTCTCAGACGACATATGGTTGCTAAACATCCACGGTATGTAGTAGAGGAAGGGCTTACTGCAACTGCAACATCTTCATGGTCAAGCAGCTAAATGGAGAAATTTGTGGTTAGGCAAAATATTCCAATCCAGGTATGTGTGTAAAAGTATAAATCGAGGTATAAATATTGTTATTACTGATTGAAAAATCCAGTTTGAGACTTGGAAATGCGTGGTAGATGGTGAGCGGAAATGGGTCGAGAGCGAATATCCATGTTTGTCCATCTGAGACTCTGACCAGTCTAACCGACAACGCAGTGATCATATGAAAGTAATAAGCCACGTTCGCAGCATTGCCAGCTCTAGTATTATTGAGCATATATTACCGATTTAGTATTTTGCTTCCGATTGATTCTATAAGATGGAAACCTTGTAATCATAGTTAGCATAATGTTGGAAAAATTTCAAGAAGTCAAGAGTTCTTGTCTTCTTCTTGTCTTGATTTCAAGAAAAAATCAAGAGAAGAGTCTGATTTTGGAAATCAAGACAAGAAGAAAAAGAAGAAGAAGAAGAAAAGAGTCAATCGTCAGGCATCAAAAATTTTTGTCAAGAATCAAAAAGTCTTGTCAAGAATCAAGAAGTCTTGATTCTTAAAAAGTTTACTTTTTGTAAATAAAATCTCAGTTTAATAAAATTTTAGCAGTTTATTTGAAGTGTAAGATTAAGAACATTTAACACAAGATTTTAATAGAAAAAAAAAAAAAAATAATAATAATAATGAAAATGGAACTTGTTTATTAGTCGAAATACTTTTTAATTAATAAATTATTCAGCCAAGAATTCAGGCACAACTGACTTCTACTTGACTGGTTTGTCAAGCGATTCTTATGTTTGGTAATCACAAGGGCTGCCTTTGAGAAAAGTCGTTCCGATGGTGCAGAGCTGGACATAATGGATAAAATATATCTTGCCATTTTTGACAAATTGGGGAAAGTTTTCTCATTTTTCCACCACCAATTAATCACGTCTGTCTTTTCCCCAGCTCTTGGACTGTTATAATATTCATCCAATTCCTTTCTCCATGGTTCTGTAAGTTCCTCTTCAGATGTATTTGCAAAAAGTGAACTTAAACCTACTTCAAAATCATCGTCAACCTCATGTAAAATAATATTTTTATAATTTCTGCCATTCTTGTCTACAGTGATGGTATATAAATTTTCATCTTCCTGGTAATATAAATCTCTATACATATTTTCAAATGTCGACACAGACATATCTTGCAAATTTTTGCCCAAATTAGTATATTTAAAAGTTTCCTTTTTATGTCGAGGATCTAAATTTTTTGAAACACAATAAATCCAATTTGATTTATTGTAGTGTTTTAATATTTTATCTCTTGAGGCATTCAGTGCCAGAATAATATTTTCATCTGTAGTTTTTCTTTCTGGTTTTTCATCGAGTGTTTTGGCCCACGACTCTAATTTATCTAACAATAAGTTTATACCGATTACTACTGTCGAAATCGTGCAAAAGGTATCACCACTGAACATATTTGTCAGGGTATTAAACGGTTTTAAATACTTTAAAACATCCCTTAAAAGATTCCATGATTCTTCAGAGACCCCAAATTTTGTCAGTTTGGTATTATTTTCGCACAAAATTTTAAGTGCTGATTTACATGCTAGGGCCCATAAAAGCATTTGAAGAGTGGAGTTCCAGCGCGTACGTATATCAACTACAGGCATGAGATAATGAATATTTGCTGTTTCACAAGTTCGGAATTTTACTAATAACTGTTCAGATTTTTGAAGCTTTTTCGCCAATTGTCTGATGGTAACAACAGGAAAATTATTATAATTACTTCTTCAGTTTCACTTTCGCATTCCTGAAATTCTGACTCTTTTTCATATTCACTATCTTGGTCGTTAGGGTTGTCATAAATATCGTTATTATTTTTGCGTGAAAGCTTGGAATAAGAGTGCTTAAATAAGACGTGAAAGTAAAATTGGATTTTGTGTTATCAGTTGTCGCACCTTAAATTTTGTTTTCAATATTATAGAAACGTAGCACTTTGAAAAACAGCTGGGCAATATGTACACCTGTATGCTTCGCATTCGATGGTAAAAAATCTAATGTGATTGACTGTAACTTGATTTCTTGAAATTTTTCAAACACTATGCGTAGGTAATTAAAAATTTCAACAATCTCTCCTCTAAAATTTTGTTAAATGGAGTTAATACTCTTTGGCTCTAAGTTCCAGATATAACAAAATATAAGCTTTCTGTATCTGCCTGATGAGCCCCAATTATGGCGCAGCTGTTTGTTTTGCTTTTACTAAATTAATATTTATTACATTCAGATCCATAGAATATTTCTGTGGGTACCTACCGAGAAAAATTACATTTTTATTAAAAACAATAGAGCAGTTTTGAAACAAATACAAAGTCAACAACCTCGACAAAAAGGAACTTCCTGTACCAGATTGCGCATCTCTAATATCTACATAATATAATATGCTAGCGGATAACAAAACATAAGGCAAGCACGCATTTTGTCCAAACACACACTTTCTCACAGTTCTCAACCCTCTTGAAGGTGGGATAAAAAGTGAAAACACGTCACTTGACATCAAATATTACATTTTATACCTAAAAAGACATAAAACCCCTTTAATGGTCGTCTGGGCTAAAGCTAGAATTTCATTTTTTATGAAATCCTAAACCAAACACTGCATGAAGAACAGGTATAAAAAGTTATAGGTGGAAGTGGCTACTGCACCCAATTCTACATCCTCCGTATTTATTTTGGAAACAAAGTATAAAGGGTATTAATATATTATAACAATCGAAACAAATTTGTTTTATTCTAACTTAACAAAAGGCTGTATGTCACGATACTAAATTAAGTACTAAATTTAGAGCTAAATACATTTTTTTAAGTAATAATATGTCAATGCGCGTGGAAAAAATTTGTTTTAAAAAAAGGAGGAGAAAAGACCATCAAAACTAGCAGATGAGCAATATGGAAGAAATGCGAAGAAAATTTTGGAAATTGGCCCCGATGAATTTAAAAAAATTAAGCACAAATCTCTTGAAAATTTAAAGGTTTCCAGCATTGTAACCTACCTGACCCAGGTACCTTAATAATTTATTAATTTCATTTATTAAATACAATATTGCATTCTTTTAAATTCAAAATTCTTCATTTAACAAAAAATCTCTCAGATAATTAAATCTTATTTATGACACCTATTAAATAATAGCTATAACTACGTCCGTAAATATCCAAAATTAGCGCACGTGGCCGAGAACCAGCCCAAAGAAAACACCATAAAGCGTATTTCTGTTTACTAAGTAATTATCATTAAAACACTTAACTCGCTTATATTTCTAGTTTTCGATTTCTAGACCGATTTCGACAATATTTCAATACACAAAGCTTTCAAAACAAGTAGTAAATAATGCACCCACATTCGTATTTTCTATGAGAACTAAAACGATAGAGACGTCACAAAAACGATTAAACTGTGTATAAAAAGTCTGACGAAAAGGAGCTCATATTCATTCAATTTTGATCATTTGATGTGCGAGCATTCATTTTCAATTATTTGATGTGCAAGCATTCATTTATTATTTGTATCCAGTTATATTTCAAGTTCAGTAGTCAGTACCTTCCTAAAACGCTCTTCCTAAACGACGTCTATCCTACAATACCTCCTATCCCCGAAGGTGTCAACGTCTCGACGCCCAACGTCCTGCCGTTCTACTCCCTACATCTCGAACGCTGTCACATTCCTCACCATCTAAGTATTTCCTACCGTACACTCATTTCGACGCTAAACGTCCCACGCCTTATTTCCGACGCTTGCCGTCCCCAAATATTTCCTTCATAATATCACGTCCCGCACCACCTACATAATTATACCGTATATCTGTCCCAATACAGTACCGTATTAAATACCTTCCTTTCCACCACGACGATAGGCGTCTCGACGCGAGGCGGCGCCCAACGCCGCGACGTACCTAAATCGACGCCATCACAACGCTAGATGAAATTAGTACATAATCTAATGTCTGTGTTTTCAATGGTGAGTCAAAAGATGTACGTATCTTTCTTTGATATACCACCCCGGTTTCGTTTAAGGGCAGGCTTGACATTTGCTGTAATATATTGAATGTAAGTTATTGAATTATTAAGGTCTTAAATTCAAAGATCATGTGACTCTGGAACTTGGTAAGTTGAAGTTGAAGTTGAATATTATTATGCTGTATAATGATGTAATCTTAAGGTGCGTATAGATATGCAGAGTGAGCCGAGTCTGAGCCGAGTTTGGGTTGGTGTTTTTGACCAAACGAGCCTACCGCGAGCCTCCGACAATTTAGTCTGATACGAATGGCAAATTGAGTCCGCTCCGAGCTTTTTTAGTTAGATTTAGTACGTGATGAACTAAACAAATTTTCAACGAGCCTGCAACAAACTCCTCCCACTAGACGCGCTAATTGTTTTGAGTTTAAGCTAAAAACTGACAAAAACTGGGAAGCAACGAGCCTCCGTTGAGCGCCTAGAGCACTGGGCTAGTTATTAGTTCAGCTCAGGCACGACTTATCAACCTAGGGCTAATTCAGTCAGTCATAAAACTAATACTGACATATTTACTTGCTTGGCTCCAGAAACTATCTCTAGAAATAGCTATTAGGAGAAAAGATACGTGAGGTGGAACAGTAGCCACTTCCGAATTTAAATTCCTTCCGTCTATTGGGATTTCAGGTAAAATTATGAGTATATATCTGTCTTTGTTTATCACGTACAAGACGGGGGCGAATGACACGTGAAATAATCGTTTTTTATATTTTCGTTTCAGACAGAAGGGTGTGTACACATTGAAAAAGTTTAGGAAATGAAAAAAGAAGCGATTTCCTTTATAGGGTTGAGAATATAATTACTAAGAGTGCTCTTTATAAATGCTACCATGAATTAAATATTTTTTGTTGTTAATCTGGAACTAACATTCAGAAAAATAAGAAAAGGATAGAGAATATTTTTTATATCGAGAAATAAGCGAAAATTGGACAACATTCTGATTTTTCGAAAAATGGAATTAACCAGGTAATTAATCAAGTCGAAAAGTTTTGTCTGCTATCCCAGTTTTACATAATTTTCAGGAAGTAAACTGCCATTCTTTTGTAAAAACAAATAAAAAAAATTAAGACCCAAAAGTAAGCAGTTAATTTTACATAATTTACCAGTCAGTTTATACAAATTGCCGCGATATAAACAATATGTAAATTTCGGCTGCATTTTGTTAAAAACATTAACGATTAACCTCGTTAATGTTTATTTGGTTATTTAAATCATTTTTTTTTGTTGGTGGAAGTGGCTTATCACTACAAACTTTTAGGCTGGAATTAATCAGCGCATAAATTATAGATGTAGCGTGGGTGATCCACATTATTCCAAAGGTGACAACTGGCTCTAAGGAAAAGGATAAAAATTAATCATTTAAAATATACAGTACCTATGTTTGAAAAAGTTAGCAACAAATGAGAAATTATTTTTTTATTAATTTAACAAAAAAAATTTTTGTTTATAAAAAGTTCTGCATCACATAGAAACCAAGAATCAAGAATAAAATATGTAAAATATTTAGTGGTAATACAGGGAAAATAAAAAATATCCAAGTTTAGATTCATTGTCTTCTAATAATGAATTAATACATTTAAGGACAGAATCTCCAAAGGATTTGCGGTCGAATTCTGTACTGCGGGACTGCTTAACCAGTAGTGCCGGTAGTAAAATATTTGGTAAAATAATCTACTCGCCAAAATGAATTATCGATCCGTTGAATTTGTTATTTGCTACTCACGGAGTTCTTAGCGTAGAATCATTTGTAGCTGGTTTCGGAAACGAGGGAAGATCAATATTTTAGTACCAAAAGCGAAAATTATATTTTTATAGAATGCTGTGTCTTCAACAAAAGAATAAGCAACATTTAAAATCAATCTCCCACATTCATAATACAAGGCACAAAAAAAAGTCAGAATTTGAAACCGCAAGAGCCACAAAATCAATTGGTCAAAAAGCATTTTACTTTATTGCACCACGTATTTTCTCAAAAATTCCTCATTTTATTAAAGTTTTAAATTATTTTTACTACAAAAAAAATTAAAAATTTGGTTTCAACAACTATCAGAAAATGATATTCAAAATATGTATACAATTTCTAAATAAAGCATTAGTGTTGATTCAATCTAATTCCTTTTGATATTTTTTGTAAATATTTATGGATTGGAAAAAATATTTGTGATTTAATTCTTACCTTTTTTTATTATCTGTTTTGTGTTTCCGAAAACCATTAAATTTTGAAAACATAAAATAATTAAATAATTGTAGTGATACTTTTTAATTTTGGTACTTATGTGACAATAGTTGTTTTGCAAGTTACCTATATATGATAAAATGTTACTTAACAAATTTGATTAAATAATAACAGTAAATTTATCCCCACAACAAGTTCGCTTCGTGGGTAGTGTATTTTTGTTTGTTTATTTATTTAAAAAATATATATATATATATATATATATATATATATATATATATATATATATATATATATATATATATATATATATATATATATATATATATATATATATATATATACATCCCACTATCATTTCGGCATCCTTTCATAACACCTTAATTTGGCGTCCACTAGAAAGAAACCTATTTTTAAATTTTTAGCCGT